CAGCACGTTTCGCGGCATACATTACAGAGGCTCACCGGCTTTACACGATTTCAAGAGTGACCTTATGGTCCGATAGCCTCACCGTTTTGAGGTGGTTGCGTAGCGACGCCCGCACGTTCAAGCCGTTCGTTGCGCATCGCATTGGTGAGATCGCTGAGATTACCAACATATCTAATTGGCGGCACGTGCCAACGGCACTGAACGTGGCGGACGACGCTACCAGAGTCACGTCAAAATTCGAAATTTCATCTCGATGGTTTTCTGGCCCTTCTTTTCTTGCTTGTCCCGAGTACGAGTGGCCAACCGAGTCATTTAACGAGATTCCACTAGTTCTCGAGGAAATGAAACGACCTCCTGTGGAAGTAATAACTGTAACAACTGCACGCGAATTACCTTACCCAGTGGTCCCAGACACCACTCGATTCAGCCGGATTCCACTAGTTCTCGAGGAAATGAAACGACCTCCTGTGGAAGTAATAACTGTAACAACTGCACGCGAATTACCTTACCCAGTGGTCCCAGACACCACTCGATTCAGCCGATGGATCCGTTTGCTTAGAGCTACTGCTCGTGTTTTTGTTTGCGCCAGAATTTTCAAGGCGGCGCTTTTAGACCCTACTTCTAAATTACTAAATTATGCGTCAGGGCGCCGAGAACCTACCGCAGAAGACATAAGCCGAGCAGAAGAATTCCTTTTACTTCAATCCCAACTATCGACCTTACGAGAGGATTACAATTTAACCCATCGGGGCGAGCCCCCAGCCAGACATGGCCGCCTAAGTAGATTAACTTTGATGGTGGACGACGAGAGCAAACTTCTTTGTCTGTCTGGTCGGATTGCAGCAGTGAAGGACGTGCCTATGTTGTCCAAGAACCCTATCGTGCTTGACGGGAAGGACCGAATTATCAGACTGTTAATCGCATACTACCACGAACGCGCAGCCCATTCAAGTAACGAGCTGGTTGTTAATGAACTACGGCAGCGATACTATATCATCGGCTTGAGACCAGCAGTGAAAAGTGTGGCTTCTTCATGTCTATATTGCCGCATCCGTAGGGCCACAGTATCAATTCCCCCTGTCGGAGATCTTCCCCCAGAGAGACTTGCGCACCATATGCGGCCGTTTACTTATGTGGGCCTCGACTACTTTGGCCCTATCACAGTCACGGTGGGACGGCACACAGAAAAAAGATATGTTGCCCTATTTACCTGTCTGACTATACGTGCCGTCCACTTAGAAGTAGTTGGAAACCTAAGTGCCGATGCCGCAATAATGGCACTAAGGAGATTTATTGCGCGACGAGGAACACCGGCCTCACTTTTTAGCGACAACGGCACGGCCTTCGTTGGAGCAAGCAGGGAGTTGGAGATCCTGTTCGCAAAGCCAGTTCTCGAATTCGCCACCAACTTAAAAATCAAATGGAAGTTCATTCCCCCCTCGGCTCCTTTCATGGGAGGATGCTGGGAGCGCTTGGTACGAAGCATCAAGACCGCTCTCTCGGTAACCCTGACGCAACACTCTCCTTCGGAGGAAGTCCTCAATACCTTCCTGTTGGAAGCGGAGAGCTTAGTTAACTCGCGTCCTCTTACCCATGTTAGTGTCGACCCTGATGATGAAGAGTCTATTACACCTTTTCATTTTTTACTCGGCTCTTCTTCACCTTACTCAGCGTTAGCTCAGGTGGACGACGCTGACATGATTCGCCGTGTAAAATGGAAACGAGGATTGCGCTTGGCGGATCATTTTTGGTCACGTTGGACTCGTGAATATCTTCCGGCATTAATACCTCGCAGCATCTCCGCTTCCGCCAGGAATATTGAGGTCAAAGATAATGTACTAATAGTAGACGGTAACCTCCCACGTGGAGTCTGGCCACGGGGGCGGGTTACCCGAACGTTTCCGGGCAAGGACGGCGTAGTCCGAGTAGTAGAAGTGGCCACTAAGGCTGGAATTCTGCGTCGTCCTGTCCGCAAACTAGTTGTCCTACCAGCTTAATAATATTATATATTAATATTTATTTACATATGTAGTGTGGTTTGTTACGTCGATGACCCTAAATTATTGTGTTGTCACACCGGGGGCGACCATGTCACCGACGTAGCAGGCCACATATCTAATCTATGGTTGTATTATATTTAAATAATAAAAGAAAGAATAAATGAGTTCCCAACAATAATAAACAACTTAAACTTACGATTAATCTGAAAGTTAGATATTATAAGAAACACGAAACGATGTCATATTTATTAATTTTCGATACTCAATTTACTTTTATTACATCAGAAACAAAATTTGAATGAATATCATAAACAAAATACATACATCGCGAGTGACATCTAGTAAGATTTTAAGAACTAATTTTTATTTTTTAAATCCTTCGGGCGCTTGTGCACTACACTGAATTTTCCTGTCCGGCGGTCCGATTTTTTCAGATCCGATATGTCAGGCCATATGTAGGTAATGCGCGCTTGTGCACTGTCAGGAATTTTACCGTCCGGAATTTTACTTTTCTCTATTCCGGTCCGGTTTTTTCAGGTCCGTGATGGCGGCAATGAAAAACGTGTTTACGCTTGTGCACTGCTGCGTCCGAGATCCGGAAAATTCATAAGGAATAGGCTTGGGAAAAAATAATCGATTTGAATCGATATTTATATCGGCAATATTGTTAATTTCCAATAAACTTATAATCGATATTTATTGTTGATTATAAAATGCTATATTTTATATGATGATTTAATATAGTTGGTATATATCACTGCATATGCTTTGGCATATGCTCGGTATAGTTCTAATTTGATCAGCGTATGGTTCTAGTATCGATACTTAGCTAGATTTTAGAATCGTATTAAAAGTATCGATAGCTTAAGGTAAGATAAATAAGTGTTGTTACGCTTATACGCCTAAACAACTGAACTCATCTAAATGGAAATTAATATAGTAAATAGACTTAACTTTAAGAAAGGACATAGGCTACATTTTATCGCGAAAATTAGGGGATGAAAGTTTGCCTGGAAATTTGTCATTATCAGTTTTTTTTTAGACAATTGATAAATATAGATAAATATTTGACAACAGAAGTAATAATAAAGAATAAACAGAAGATTAACAAAAGTAATTAAGTGACACTCAATGTCTTCTTCGCATTTAATAAAATTTTAAATGTATGTTTGTGTCATTAATGAATTAAAAAAAACTAAGTATTCTAAGGTAATAATATTTCTGCTCAAAGAAACTACACTATGCGTATAAAATTATGCCTATATATAATATAGTCAACTGATCTCGTAAAGTTCATTTATCATAATAATTCTCCGCAAACACGGCACTAATTTCGATTTGTTTACGAAATGGTGCCACCGATTGGTCTATCTCTGTAATCGCTGAAAGTTGTTTTTACAAAACTTCGAAAAAAAAATAGCACGTTTAAAAATTTAAACATCAAGTACTAGACCATTATCAGTAATTTTATTCTAATGTCACAGATATTTTTAGCTATTGTATGTGAATAATGCTGTTCCTAAATTAGTAAGGGTATAAGTTTTTACATCTGATAGTAGTCATCCGATAGTAGTAAAAAAAATGCTTCATTCGTCTTGCCATTATTTATTATGATTTATGTAAAACGATCAGATCATTATTTAGGTACCTTTCTACGTCTTCGAACGGAATTACCGACGTTCCAAAAATCTCATCATACATAGCGTAAGTGACGTGTAGCTTCAAAGAGAGCTGCCCTACACTGCGCCGCTCCGATCAGGAAAAAAACGGACAAGTGCACAAGCTACTCATCCGAGTTTTTCATGTCATTCCGGACCGGAAAAAATCGGACCGCCGGACCTGAAAATTCAGTGTAGTGCACAAGCGCCCTTCCTCATCGTTTTATTAATTTCTATCTCGTCATTATGTAAATATGTATCATTTTTCCCTTCATTTGATGTACTTAGTATCAAGATATCGTCAGCCAATCAGTAATTTCTATTTGGTTTGACAAATGTATGAACAAACAAATTAAATATACTCAAACAAATTAATATACACGGTCAGTTTAAATAAGTTAATTTGTAACCCCACACACAAGCTTAAAACTAGCTTTTATTTCTCATGACAGGGTTGCTCGCAGACATACGATTCTGTTACTTATTATGAAATTCTACATATCTCGTACTATATTAATACTCTTTTCACTTTTTTTTGCATAAGTTAATGCAGTTTGTTTAATTTTATTTTTATTTTTGTTTTTAATAAAGATTTTAATTTGCTGTTTACTATGTATAGGTATAGATATTTATAACAAGCTTTAATGTTATAAATATTCTTAGATAAGACTGCATAAACTAAACTCCTTTGCTATAAAAGTAGCAGTAACAACAACAACACCAAAATTCTTGTGAAGAAAAAGGAGTGCTTTGTATATATTTATGAAAATATAACTTCAACTATTGGGGAAATCTAGCTTGGTTGTTTTTCTCTATTTCAATTTAATTTTGTTTATTCACTATTTCCTTCGTTTGTATATTTCACTTGTTAATTTGTAAATAAGATTCACAGAATATGATAATGAGAAATAAACTTTTTATGATTTTTCATAAAACAACTCTGTATATACATAGTTTTGTGACAAGTCTCTATAATAAACTGTAATTTCACGAGTTTTACAGACTTATTGCTTATTATGTAATTATGATATAAAACGTGTAATCACATAAAACTTAAAAAAGACTTGGCTGCGGCCTTTTGACATAGACTGACAATATAAATTTCTATAAAAAAGACTTGGCCGTGGCCGTTAAAGTTGATTATTTAAGAACATAATTACAAATGACAAGCCTGTATGGGCTAAGCAACCTTTGCCTTCCCCTCCCTTGTAGGAATGGGAAAATTGAACCAAAAAAAAATGTTACTGTCATGGCTATATGACTTAGTTCCTTCGCCTGTCCCATGGACGAAATTACTACTACTTGTTACTGTCACTGTCAGTGTCAATGTCAACATACCTTCGGTTGATCGGTTCGTCATGTCATTACAGAATTTGTTTGTTGTTGTTTTATAATTTATTGTATACGTTTTATCACAAAATTTATAAATTTCTAAAAAATCGTATTATCTCTTTTAAAATTGCTAACTTAACTAAAACATTTTGCTGTCAGTAAAATAAAATAAAACTGTGAGTTATCCCAGTCTATAAACATTTACTTTTTATAACATATAGAGGAAAGTATTATCAATAATCTACACATTGCAAATTTATCAAAATGTCGGCGTTATTAACTGCGGATTGGTTCCAATTGGACTCATACTACAGGTATGTTTTATCTTTTTGTTAGATGACTTTTTATAAAATTATATTTTATACATTGCAAAACCATCATTTTACAATTAACTTCCATAGTTATCATCGAGGAATCGATATTTCATTCACTATGTTATTACTTTGTAGAAAGTTTGACTTATATACTATGACCTGGAACATGGAAGAGGGATTAGACAATATGATTGTTAGCGGAGCCCCATATGGAGGTCCAATAGCCATGGTCAGAGATAGAAAACAATTTGTAAGAATAATGACAACAAGTAAACCTGTCATAACTATTTACAATTGTTTTGGGAATTTGATATCTAATAATAAAATATTGGTGAGTATATTTCTATCTTTATGTTGAATAATATAAATTATAATTGGGATAATTTACTATAATTTAAATAAGTACTTTTAGAAAATAACATTTCAAAGGGCCGATTACTTGCAGCACTAGTTCAAGTAATGAACAGTCTTTTATAAACATTTAACATCACTCACTGAGTAGTGAGCTAAGTGTAATCTAAGTAAGCAAGCATAGTAAGATATTAATATTTTTTGGATTTATAATTAGACTGCACTTTTGACTAATATTTGGCTGCATATTTGGATATAAGAAAAAGGCAATCATTCATTAACAAAAACCACAATTTTCAAATAATTTTGTTTGTTTACTATATGTGCTAATGTTCCTTTCTATGCCGAGCTTTGTGTTATATATATATTCCCTGTTATCACTAAAAAGAATATTTAAAGGTATTAGGAGTAATAGAAACTGGTTATAAAATTAACATCAATGTTACTTTTGGATTAATAAACCAAAACTAAAATTAATAATGAATTTCTGTGCCCTGGTTATGAGTATAAAGTACTTATTTCTAGTCATATTTAAACACACCTTTTATTTTATCAAAGTGTTTATATATTTTCAGTGGAATAGTGGTGTTTTGGTGCATATGGGCTGGTCTGACAGCGAGCAGCTTCTCTGCATACAAGAGAGTGGAGACGTCCTCATTTATGACATGTTTGGTGCTTATCAGAAAACTTTTAATATGGGCCAGGAAGTTAGAGATACTAAAGTATGTTATCTTTTGGATAAACTCTTTATTTAAAAGAATTAATGTTAAGTATAGGACTTCAATATTCTAGCCTTGTACATAAAAAGTTAGCTGTTTTATCTGAATGGCTGATTCCACTCCATCAATAAGTTTAAAAAAGCAATTAATATAATGATTTTTTAATTTCACAATAAAGTTAAGACATGCTCTTTGGTCTTCCTATAATGATTTGGTAGATTGATTTTGAATTATTAAATAAGAACTGATGTTTTTTGACCTCCTTATTTGATAAACCCAGTAACAGGGGTAAAATTTACTTTTTATGAGTGGTGAAGATGTTGATTCTAGTACTGGTACTAATTCTGACTTTTTGAATTTGATTCTCAGTTTGTGTTGAGCCTAGGTAATTGTAATACCATTTAAGCATGACATAACATGCTTTGCATAAAATTTCTTCTCTCCAGAATTGATACATTTAATATGATGTAGATTCTTTAATGATCTATTAATACAGATCCTCAAACCTTAAATAAATCTTTTAAATGCTCATTTTACAGGTGTGCAAAGCTCAGTTGTTTCCAAATCCTACTGGTGTTGGTCTTGCAGTTATGACAACAACCAACCGTATGTTCCTTATCAGTAATGTCTCTGAGCCTAAGGTCCGGTCTGCCCCCGATTTACCTAGTAAGTAAGAGTTCTGGTAGATAGAAACCAGGTTTAAGAGCCATATTACATCGCAACTGTGATTTCTGCGTGATTTTTCTCGGAAACAAAAACAAATTAACAATTTTGACTTGTTGAATAGTGAAGAATAACTCTTGGTATAGAAATTAGTGGCTCAACTTTTTGGAAATTTTGCTCATCGTTTTAATTAAATCCAAAATACCAGAGAAAGTTTTCCATAAAATGCGCAAAGACACTTTTTTGAAGTCCTGGATTGAGCTACTGTTCTTAACAAACGAAATAAAAGAAATAGAATGATATCTCTTATATAGTCGTAAAGTAAACAGTAGCTCGAAATTTTGAAATAGCACTGATTAAATATAGAAAAACAATTATATTACAAACCAAAAAACATCAAAAATTGCTTGAAGTTAACTTTGAATTTCTCTTAGCCACAACAATATTATTGAACAAAATTTATGCCAGATTAATGACTATTTTATAAGGAACAAAGTTATTATAATTTTAAAGCATAAATTTATTATATTATTTCAATAAACACGATAAATGTAAACGCAAAATCACTACAAAATAAGATGCAGCGGCCGTCTGAGCTCAGTACCGCGCGAGCGCTCCTCAACGTTAGACCTGTGTCGCATTTCTTCGCGCCATTTTTCGATCTAGATACGTTCGAGCGAGCGTAAATAGAGCAGTATAGTGGGACTTCCAACTTTGGTCACGAAGTTCGATTTATATGGAATTTATATAGCTTATTGAATTATTTCTAATACACATTTGTTATTTTCAGCATAGGTCGAAAGACCCCTAGGTATATTTGTATAAGAAAGTTAAAATATATATTTATATTATGAAATGCAAATAAAGCAAGGTACTTCTTCTCTCAATACACTTATACTAGTACATAAAATTGGAGTGCATATTTGTAATATTAAAATAACCGCTTTTCACTAAATACATTTGTGTGTATACAAGGTACATATACAAAAATAATAAATATATTTTATCTGTCTGTCTGTTAGTTATGGCTAATCTCTGAAACGGCTTGGCCGATTTTGAAGAGACTTTCACTAGAAGTTGACTTACGTAATGAGGATTAACTTAGACTTATGGCTCGATGCAATTCGTCCGATATCAAATTTATCGGAGATCCGCATATGAAACAACTTTTTCTAAATTCAATATATTTTTAATCCCGGACGCAAAAACGACGCGGTGTTATAAGTTTGACATGTCTCTGTGTGTGTGTGTGGTGTGTTTGTGTCTTTTTGTGGCATCATAGTTCCCGAACGGATGAACCCATTTTGATTTTGTTTAAAAGGTGTATTAGTCGGGAGTGTTCTTCACTTTGATGAAAATCGATACGAGATGGCCGCCGCCACAAAATGTCGGATCACATATTTCATCACCATTCCATCAATATGGGTATCAAATAAGAGGGCTTGAGTAGTAGAATACTGAACACTATGACAAATTTCAAATCCAAGATGGCCGCCACCAAAAATGTTGGATTACCTACATATTTTTCACGACTCCCTCAATACGGACATTAAATAAAAGGGCTTGAGTAGTAGAATACTGTTTACTATGACAAAATTTTATACAAGATGGCCGCCGCCACAAAATGTTGGATTATCTATTTATTTATTTATTTTGTACACACATACAATTTCATATGAACAAATGTAACAGACATTAGTACAAGGGCACTGCTTATTTCAAATTGAAATTTCTACCAGCAGGCCCAAAACAGGAAAAAGAAATACAATAAGGTAGTCAGTGTGTACCTCCTAAATAAATTAATATGGAATAAAAAAAACAAATTCAAATACCGGGAAAGAGAGAAAATAAAAATACATAACGGTTCAAACATTATATAAATAATAATATATATATCTATAATATATAAAGCTTAATTACCACTGACTGACTGACTCACTGACTCACTCCATGCTTTTTTCGGGTAGAAGGAGGGGGAAATATATGTTTTCATGTATGGAGATTGACAATATCTTTTTTTAATGAGTTGAAATGGCATATCGGTACAGCCAAAAAACAAAATGGCGGCGAGATAATTTTTTTAATTTCTAAAGTATACACTCTACGATTACGATATTCAAAATGGTCGTAGATTTGGCTAAAAAAATGGCAATGAAAAAGGGTTTGATTAAAAAAACAAAATGGCGGCCGAGATATTTAACCTGGAAATTTGGCATTTTTCGACCTCTGTTCGGGCAATCGTCAATTGTTTTTCTGTGGGTTTGGAGGGGGGCTTTTTACGCCGGCGACTCGGAATTATAGTCGATTTTTACGTACGGGGAGTTTTCATTTGCGCGTCAACATGGCGGCGGCTGGGGCGGCCATTTTGTTTCGGCAGTGAAAAATCGCCATTTTCCAGTGAGATTTTCTCCGAGATGGCGGCGTCGGACGGATTCGCGTTCTATGGGGCGGTCGTGGGGCTCGCCGTTAACTTTTCACCTTGGTAATAAATTCTACCATTTTCGTGGTAGTTTAGGAGATTTTGGGAGAAAAGTGAAATTTCGAAATACGCACTTTTCGCGAAAACCAGACTCGATGCGGTGTGGCGCCGGAAGAACCCTATGACTTTTGGTAGTTTTCGTTTCCGCGAGCTGACAACCCTGGGCTGCACGGTAGAAAACATTTTTTTCGACATGCCCTCATAACCTGAATTGTTTGGGAACCTGGGTGGCCAGCGGAGAAAATCTGTGAATGAGGTGTCGCGCCAAATATAGTCGTGACTATGGGAAAATTATGAAACTCGGGAAAATCAATATGGCGGCGCCGGCAGCGGCCATTTTGTGATGTTTTCACTTTTTCGAAAAATTCAAACGCACTTTTAGCCTACCTGGCAACATTGGAGCTCTTCGCTTGGTATGGACCGATCGTAGCTCACTGCTGGCTCTTTTGTACGAAGTGAAAATTTTCCCCGATTTTAGGGTAATTTCGGAGATTTACCCCAAAAAGGTGAAAAGTGGAAGGAGCCGTTTGGGAATTTTAAAAATACTTTTCCTCGAAGGAGGGCACTCCCCGAAATGACATTTGGCCATTTTCATCGTCGTCATCTGACAACCCCGGCGGTTGCGGCGATTTGAAAAATTTTGCCCATTTTTTACTTTGTCGACTCTAGCGCGGTCAGTATTGCCACTAGGAAAATGGTAAAAACTGCATCGGATGCGTTATCGAGTTGGCCACACCGGTACGGAGCCGGATTTTCAAAATTCAAGATGGCGGCCAAACCAGCGGCCGTTTTATCCGGAAAATTGGGTATCGTCACCACATCGAGCCGATTTTGACGCACTTGCCGACATTTGTCAGAGTACTTCCGGGGAAACATTTTTTAGGCAAGTAACTATAGTGTTGCCAGGTGAAAAAAAGCTCGAAAATTTTTGATACTTTATGAGATTTTTGAGGAAACAATTTTTGTCGAATTTTTTAACTTTTTTGATGCAAATATTTTAATTTTAACTTTTCAAGATACCCGATGGAAAAAATAGAACGATCGACTGGCAACACTGAGAGCAAACAAAGTTTGAAATTCAACCTCGATTTTGACCGACTTGGCAACCCCGCAGGTATTTGGCATGTATGGAGCGATTGTGTATCTCTATAGACTCTTTCATATGGTGGAAAAAAATTACCCGATTTTAGGGTAGTTTTTGAGATTTACCCCAAAAACTGTAATTGTCAAAGGAACACTTTTAGAGCTTGAAAATTAGTATCCGTCGATGGAGGGCGCGTCCCGAAATGAGATTTGATTATTGCCATCGCCTTAACATGGCAACCCTGGCAGCTACGGCGGTTTGAAGATTTAATGCTCATCATTCACGTTTTGGACTCTAGCGCAGTCACTATCGCCGCTAGAAAAATAATAGAAACTGCGTTGGATGCGCCAATAGGTGGGCTACATAGATATGAGGTTGAAATTTCAAAATTCAAGATGGCGGCTTAAACAGCAATCATTTTATCAAGGAAATTGATCATTTTTCACGACTTTCACTTTATAGAACTGATTTTTGCGCATATGATAAGATTTTTCAGCTTACTTAAATAAATATCATAAGCTGACAATATCAATGTTGCCACATGAAAAAAAAACTGAACATTTTTTGATACCGAGATTTTTGAGAAACTTTCATGTATGTCATTGATGAAAAATATTAACATTATTTTTAAAATAATTTTACTGTTTAACAAAATTTTTACTGTTGAATTTTTAACATAATTGATGGAATAATTTGAGTGATCAACTAGCAACACTGATAGTAGTCACCATATAAATTTCGAATGATTCTGACCGAGCTGGCGACTCGGAAGCTTTATTGCATATGTAGACCACAACATACACAAACGTATCTGTACTCAATCTTTACGTGGTGAGAAAAAAATTCCAATATTTTCGCCAGAAAAATAAAGCGAGCGAGACATTGTCATTCGGTTAGATTAGAACTGTGACTAAAACAAAAAGCGAGCGAAGCGAGCCATAAAGAGTGACCGATTAGAGAGATTTGATTAATTGGTAAGGTAAGAACTGTGACTAAAATAAAATGCGAGCGAAGCGAGCCATAAAGAGTAACTATTAAGAGAAATTTGGTTAATTGGCAAGGTTAGAACTGTGACTAAAATAAAATGCGAGCGAAGCGAGCCATAAAGAACACCATCAATAGAGGCCTGGTCAATCAGTTAGATTAGAACTGTCAATAAAACAAAAAGCGAGCGAAGCGAGCCATAATAAATGGAGACCTGGTCAATTGCTTAAAATACTATGACCAAAATCAAGAGCGAGCGAAGCGAGCCATAATGCTAGACCATTAAGAGAGACCTGATCGATCGATTATGTTAGCAACGTGTCTAAAACAAAAAGCGAGCGAAGCGAGCCATAAGGAGTAACTTTTAAGAGAGATTTGGTTAATTGGTAGGGTTAGAACTATGACTAAAATAAAATGCGAGCGAAGCGAGCCATAAAGGACACCATCAATAGAGAC